TCATAACCTAGCTGAGTGACAGTATAGATATGCACATGAACTCTAAACTCCCCACTATAAACAAAACACCCTGTCTGGATAAAAGCCTCCTCTATTTCTTCTCTTTTTTTTTTTCACTGATACGTAGCAGTGGTTTATTTATTTTATTGTTTTTGTTTTGGGCCTTTTTTCCTTCAGCTATTGTTTTCTCAGGCTTTTACCTTTACATGGCTTGATTTTTCTTAGCCAAGGAAGTGAGAAGAAAGGAAGGAAGAAGGAAGGGAATGAAAAGCCCCATGCTGCCAGCCCATAAAAACGTACGATAATGTCTTGATAAAGTGTGCCACTTGAAATAAATTACTTTGTATGTGAAGAAATTCGCACAGGTTAATTAGTTTTTATTTAACAAATTAGGATGCAGTGATCACCTCAAAGCAGGAAAGTTGCAGGTTCATAACTCAGCTGGGTCTTTTTTGTGTGGAGTTCTTACAGTATGCATGCTTTTTCCCCTGCTTTCCTTCCACAGTCCAAATACATGCAAGTTGGGTTAATTGGAAACTCTGAAAAACTTGTCCCTATGGGTGAGTGAGAGCATGAAAMGTTGTCTTCTTTGTCCCTATGACCATGGGAGGGACTTGCGACCTGTCCAGGGTGTACCCTCACCTCCCATCTTGTGACCGACAGACGGACACCAAACTGGATCAAATGAAAAAAAATGGATAAATGGAAGAAATTTAACCAATATGTGTCCAAATGGGAGTTTATTTGGGTCTAGAGTTGCATCATGGTTTGTTATATTTTAATGTAGTTATATATTTTGAAGACTTTMTACAGGCCTTGTCAGCCCTGAATCGTGTATAATATATTCAAGGTGCAGGTTGTGCATGTGCGCCACCATGGACTCATCAGTAGTTGGGATCTTTGCTTCAGTCCATCTTAAATGAGCTCCATACTYCAGGACTTTCTTAATGCTCAGAAGAATTTCCAAAAAAGTTCTTTTAGTACAAAGAATTACTGAAATAATTTTTGTTACACAATGGAAATAGCAACTATTTCAATATTATTTTTTATTGTGAAAATAGCATATATATATATCCATCCATCCATTTTCTGTACACGCTTCTTCCTTTTCAGGGTCGCGTGGGTCACTGGTGCCCATATCCAGCAGTCACAGTGCGAGGGGCGGGGTACACATATATAGCTGCTATTATATAACCATTGTTAGATTTTAGC